CGGCTGCCTCTGCCTGCGGGGCTCGGGCAGCGCCTGCCCGGGGCTCCTGGGGCCAGGGCAGGGCCAGCGCCCCTCGCAGCCTCCTGCTCACAGACCCTGGCTCGCTCAGAGGACACGCAGCGTTCCTTCCCTGTTTCCCCCACAGCCCTTGCTGCTATTCCTGGCTTCCCCTGGGTCTCCGCTGTGTTGCCCCTTGGGCCCCAGGCACCTTCTCAGCAGCTGGTGGAGTGGTAAGTCACAGAAGAGGGATGCCAGCCCTGGTAGATGGCTGCAGAGGATGTTAAATGCGTTGGTATTTGGCTATTCTCTCTCTGGTTTCTCTTGACCACCACTCCAGTCTGTTGCTCCTGATCCCACCACAACCTGTTTGCTCCTTGCACACTCTCGTATGACCTTCCTGGGACTCCCAGCAGCTGAGCTGGGGCTCTGTAAGGTTGCTTCTCTGGGTTACAGCAGTGGCAGTCTGAGCGCAGACCTGCCGGCTAGGCACCTTGTTATCCCGTGATACCCCATTTGCTTTTGCCCAGCCTGCAGTTTTAAAGACTACTTTGCTCTCACAATTTGCTGAAGCTTCCTTTCTCTTGGATCTTCTTCCAACTTTCTCTCCTGCTGCCTCTATGGACCCCCTCTTCAGCAAGTCCTGTGGGCTGTTTTCTTCCAAACAGCAGCGCTTCCCAGCAGTGCTTCTTGTCCTTGGGCAGGGAAGCTCCCTGTCCTCTGTGCTGTCCTGTAGCTGTGCCTTTTCTGCCAAGTGAGTTACATACACAAAGGGCCCAGAACAAACTGGTGCTTGCCTTTGGACCTGTTTTCTCACTGAAGATACCTGTGTGTCTCCAGCATTTTTTTAGGCTGCCACAACACAAGCTGCTTTGTGCTGTCTTTCACATGGGTGCTACCCTAACCCAGCTGCTTTGTGAATTCCTGTCCTGTTTGGTAAGGTTGCCTCCTTGGTAGTAAGGAACCTGAGGATAGCCAAGATGTCCTCACAGGCAGAGAAATGATTCACTGTGCAAGCCCAGCAGCTGAAAATGGCTTTAAAGAAATGAGAAACTAGACAGGAGGTAGTGTTTACCACAGCACAGCTGGGACCTGCCACCACCTGCTCCAGCTAAGGTTGATGTCTTGTACTGGGACAATCTCACATCTGGGGCTAGGTTTTTGTTCCTCTTTTTCCTTCATTTTTTATTGGCTTACCAGCTCTCAAACTGCTTCTACACAATAGCATCGGCATAAAATATATTTTGTTAAGATCAAACCTTTTTATAACTACATGAACTGGAAGACTGGAAGGAACGTGGTTTAGGAATGTCTCTTAGTAACACTGATCATTGGTGTTAGAGGCAGGGTTGCTGTGGTGCTGTTGTCTTCAGATGCAGTGTGGGCACAGAATATGGGCTGAGTGGGGTAAAATATCAATGCTGTCATCTAATGCAGAGGAAGCAACATTGCTATGTCTTTTTGGGTAACTTGGAAAATAGCCTGCTCTGCTGCTGTTCATCTGGGGCAGTAACTGCAGTTAAGCCCTGCCATTATTGGATTGCTGTTGGAAGAAGGAAGTACTTTTTTTTCTGTGTGTGTGTGGGTGGTGTGGACTAGTCCAGAACACAGAAATGCTGCAGCTGAAAACGTGGCTGGCTTGGAGCTTCTCCCTGAGAGTGTGCCATGTTTCCCTCTAGTGGACTTGTCTCACAGTGGAAACTTTTGCCTACAAAAACCAATTAACAGGAGTTCAAGGAGAAATTACTTTGAATAAGAGCCTGAGAGCTTTGAATAAGAGCTAAGCCAGTATATGTACATTGAAGTGGTGCATGGTTTTATTATAATGTGGAGTAGTGAGGAGTTGGGAGACAGCAGCATAAGAGATCAGAGGCGATGTGCTATTAAACCTGACTGACTGTTGTATTTTGCATGTTTTTTGAGTTGTGGTTCACTTTTCTACAGAAATACTGAATTGACTTGGAGACCATTTTCTCTTATGTACAATGATAAAGGAAAAATCTCTCTGCTTTGAGGCCTGTTTCTAAGAAAGTAAAGGCATCTGTTTTTCACCAGTAGGTGGTTCACTGCATCTTTGTTTCACTGGTTCCATTCACTTGCCCTCTGCTCCCTCTGCAAGCTCTCTTCCCAGCTGAATATTGGTGTTATATTTTTACAGCACATTGATAATTTATACCAGTCCATTCAACAAAACATGAAGACTAAAACCAAAGGGAAGAAACAAAGGCAAACTGTTGACAAAGAAGCATTTTCCGAAGAGCCAGCCATGAGAAAAAAGGAACTGGTGAAATGTTTGCGACGCAAAGAAAGGAGGAATGGGGCAAATAAAGAGAGCAGCAAGATCCCCACAGCCAGAGCGAAGCGTCCTTGGAGCAGTAAGGACAGGCTGTTGAGGAGGCTGGAAAGCAACGAGCGTGAGAGGCAGAGAATGCACAAGCTCAACAACGCCTTCCAGGCCTTGCGGGAGGTGATCCCTCATGTGAGAGCTGAGAACAAACTTTCCAAAATAGAGACTCTCACGCTGGCCAAAAATTACATTAAATCCTTGACCTCCATTATACTCAATATGTCAAATGGACACTTTCCAGCAGTGGAAGGGATGGGAGGAACCTGGGGATCCAAATTGTACCAGCATTATCAGCAGCAGCATGGAGAGGATGACCAGGAGGAACATCTACAGAAATATTCCACATAGATTCATAACTTCAGCCAAAACACCAACTGCCAGCTACTACTGTCATTATTTTTCCTTCTTACATCATAATATGTGTCATAACCTAGAGGTTTCAAGAGATTATTTTTGCCTCCAGTCTCTCCTTTTTTTTCTTAAAAAGACAAACAGGTAACACTCATGGCTACTGTTTTTATATGGCACGTTAAAAAATTATCTTAAACCCTCAGAATTTTTTAGAGTATAATGAATGTATTTGTGTGGTGTGCCAGAGTCTGGAAACCTATCCTATAACACTGGAGTTGACTTGAAAATAGTGATTTAATAACTTCTGAAAATTAACCTACTTGGAGTAGAGTGAGTTGAGCCTTTAAGGTCTGTGTCACCCTAGTTCCTTGGAGGTTGTTGAGAATCTTGGCTGCAGCTCTGTTCACCAGCCTTTCAATGACTCATCTACTGTGCTGAAGAGAAGATTAAAATTGATGACAGAATTTGACTGACTTGGTGACTGAAGTGGCACATATGGGAAATTGGTCACCAAATCTGAATATTTATCTTGATATTTAACCTCTGTGGATCTGCCCTGGTAATTTTGAACCTTGCAAGGCATAAAAACATCTTTTGATGCAAACATCTGCAAAGCTTTCTTAGATTGTAAGCTCTCTAGAGTAAGGACAGCTTTGATCTGTGTTTCCAGAGCATCTGGCCTCATGGAGATTTTCTTTAGTGGGTGTCTGGGTGCCCCTGTATTACAAATAATAAATAAGGGACAAATTATTTAATTTTTGCCAAGACAATGATAAAAATGCTTTAGTATAGTTTTAAGTTAGACAATGCTCTGGCCAGTTTAAATTATTTGCTAATGAAGCCTGTGATGTGATCAGGTTCTTTCTGGGTTAGTGTTAGATTCTGATACTATAAAACAATAAATGAAGCAGAAACTCTTCAAAAAGGAAAACGGGCTCTTTTTTTCCCCATCCCCTCTATCCCCTTCTGTGGTAAAAGTTTTATGTCACTGAGGAACTCTCATTTCCTCCTGTATGCTCATACCTGGGGCACCTGAAGCTGGAGTGGCCTCAGTTGGAAGTGTGGTGCCCATGGAGCCCCTGTGTCACAGCTTCCCCCTCCCCAACAGGAGGCTGCTGCTCCATGCTGTGGTGGCACAGGAAACATTTGGCACCTCATGCATCACTAGGATTGATCATGGTTTGTGGCATGGTCCGTTTCCTGCAGACAAGGGCAGTCCAAGGAGGAATGGGGGCTGAGGAAAGTTTTCTCAGATCCATCACAAAAGGATTGTGCTGCATTGTGCAGTTTGGAATGGGTTTGTAGTTTGCTGCAGCACAGCTGAGGGGATGACAATGTAATTCAGAGTGAAAGGTGAGGTTTCCCACACAGGCTGGTAAGGGATGTGAATTATTTTTCTCCACAGCAGTCCATAGCTATGATGTAGAACAACACCATTGTTTATTCATGTGGTTGCCTTACTGCAGAAAGCATTTGGATCCTGCCTCAGCTGGAATTTTCTTAGTGGTTGAACTGTTTTCACATTAAAATAAATTTGATTAAGCCTTTCTTGTACTCAAGTGTTAGTGAAAGAATTGCAGAGTCTCTTAGAGATTTAACTTGCCACTACAGTGCTGGATCTTACTCCATTCACCAGCTGTCCCATGTGGCTAAATTAATCCTCAGTGTATTTTATACACTGATTACAATGGGTCAGCCAGTAACACCAAGGCCTTTTCTTCCAGTTATTCCACTCAGCAAGTCTTCAGGTAAGAAACGTTCACGTTATTTGATTATTTCTCACCCTCTAGGTCAGTGCAAACTGTGGCTCTGTGTGTCACACAGTGAGTGATGACCAAGCATTTGTAGATTATGGTAATTTTTTTGTAGGATTCTTTAAAGGTCATTATCTGAGAGTTTCCAGCTAGTAAACATCCCTGGAATGCTTCTGTGGGATAGTTATGTTTCAACTGGTGTTTGATTGCATTGGTGGAAAGAGGGAACCAGCAAGTTTAAAAATCCAGTATTTTAACAGTGCTGTTGATGAAGGATTGCATTTTAAGAACCAAGTATGCTGGTATTGCTCCTAAACATACAGAGTTCAATGCTTGGGCATTTTTGCTTGGGGTTTTTTGCTATAAATACAGCAGCCAAGGAGGCAGGTGAAAGTTACCCCTTCTCTGAACACTGCCATTCCTAAGGCACAGTGAGGCTGAGGACAGGCATTTTTATAGAATTACAACTGCTAGTTCCACAGTGGTACTTTGTAGCAAGGTGCTGTGTTCTTGGATATGTCAAAAGGGATTTTGTAAGAAGCTTTTTTTTCCTGATAAATTACTTTTATTTTTCAAAATTGCTTCAGTTTAAAGTCACTTTTTCATATTTTAACTAGCCACAACAATGACATTATAATTTTTAATGAAATAAATTTTCTGAATAATATTTAGAAGGCAAATACTTAGTACTCAAACATAAACAACTTAAAACTTTTTTTTTTTTACTTAAACCCAGCTTTTTACAGTAAAGTAAGTGAAACTTGGCAATGTAGGGAAAAATGCAAAGGTACATTATAAAGCTTATTGTATGCAATCAGGTTGATTGTTGAAGATGTAAACACTGACTATTAAAAGGAAAAATCTTGATACAATGCAGAGAAAAATACAATCCTAATAATTCTCTAAAAATACAAGTAATAACGTTATTTATTTGAACAAGATACTGTGCAAGTTATGCAAAACCTATTATGGGAATTAATGCAACACATTATTTATGGTTCTCCCACAATGTATGTATAAACCAGAAATTTAATGACATATTGGAAAGATCAACAGGTTCTTTCTTTAACAGTAAAGCATCTTCAATCTTCATTCACATTTGGACTTGGAAACAGTGTTTTCCTTGGCATTAAATACCAAATATATTCCTTAAATACGTGCAAACGTAAGTTTTACTTCTACAAATACAGTACTGAGACCACACCAAACTGCTCATCATATAAAAATAGCTTCATATACAGTCACACACAGAGAGAAGAAATGAATGTAAAGTGTCCAATTATGATAAGTAAGTCAGGAAAACTTTTTTTGAGAATAGAAAGTGGTTTCACATTGGAAAAAGGGATGAATAAATAAATCACTTACTCAAAATGAAGAGCAGAGCTTCATTCTGAACTGCCATCAGTGTACACTGGCAAACTCTACTGCTATCAGTCCTACATTCCTACCACTGTAAAGTCAGAATTTAAGACCTTCCCTTGACTTCTACAGTATGAAAGCATAATTTGCAGTGATCTTGAACACCTGCAGAGTCTGGTGCCTTCCAGCCTCCTTACATAGGCATATGTGTACCTCAGTTATCCCAGTTTCAGTTCAGCTGAAGGCAGAACACGATTTCCCAGCACTTGCAGTGACAGTTCAGAGCGAGACATCGCTGAGCCTGACTGACCAGGACTGTGGCTCCCTGAAACCAGGGGTTCTGCTGCCTGATTAACCCATTGCTCACTGTGAGCAAAGACAACAAAAATGGGCACTGCCTGGTAACTGCAGCCTAAGCAGAGTTGTACAGAATTTGATTTTGCTGATGGGAGTAAGAACAGCCTGACCCAAGTCCACCCTTACACACGGAGCCCTTCCCATGAACAGAGCTCTGTGCATGTCTAAGGGCTCCACAAACAGAACCAGCTGTGTTTGCCTGCAGTTGATTCAAATTGAAACATCATCTGTACTCAGAGATGAATCTCAAAGACAGTGTGCAAGATGTGTGAATATGAGAGAAATGTAGGGAGCATAAAAAGAAGAAGTAAATGCAGTGATCATTGGTGCAAATATTCACATTTGTATGGTGTGTAGCAGCTATGGTAAAAGGTCAGAAATACACTGGTTAAAAACCTTGCCTGCTTTGACAAAACTATGAAATCTATCAAGTCACATTTTACACAAGATGAATTAGAAGGATTCAGTATTTAAAATACCCCATTGCAAAGTCCAGTTCAGTCAAACATATTAGTAGCACAAAAATGTCATGTTTCTCTCTCCAAGCAGTAGACATTTCTTTCTTTTTAAACTATTGCCTGCTGCTTGTTAGCAACACATAGATGGCAACAATCTAACAGTTAACAGAATATCTGTCCAATTCTTGACTTTCACTGACCATCAGAGGGGTCTTAGAGTGTTCTGTTTTCCCTTTACTCTCATCTTCTCCCTCCTTCGATGTTGCTGGGTTTTCCGCAGCGGTGTCAGGCACGGCACCCCGAGCTGCTTCTGTTGCATTTCCTCTGACTGTAATGTGCTCCCACCCACCCTGTGAAAAAGGGATAGAGAAATTCAAAAGGAGAAACATCACCCTGTCACTGCTGTACATGATAGGATGCTTCATGTACACTGCTAGTTTATACTATTTGTTCATGAGGAAAGTAACCCTGCTCTGGGATGAATCAGAAAAAAGGCTCCTTGTAAAATGAAACAAAACACAGTAGACCTCCCTGTCGTTATAGAGGTGGTAAACTTGAGGATTGTTTTTTGTCATGGGGAATTGAGATTAGTAGGGTCAGGCATTCATAACAGAGCCACTGCAGATATTCCACAAACTTAAAAGGTGACAAAACCTTGAAATAGCCTTTCTCAAAACACTCAGATTATTACACAGTACAACAATGAGGAATAATCATGTGCAGACCAAGAAGGAATCCACTTTTTTTTAAATGGCTCTTACTCCACTAGTTTTTCCACTGTAGGTTTTAAATTACCTATTTAAGATGAATACTTATCAAATGCAAATAGACAACTTCCTGGCTACGACTGCACAGCCCATTATAGTAACTTCAAAAAGGAACCTAAACCTGAAGGAAAATGTCTGTTTCCTGCAGATATATCCAAGCTTTCCAATGCAGGCCAGCCAGGCAGGATGGCACTTCGCTTTCTCTGAGAGCCCACAGACATTGGGATGTACCACTTCAGGCAGTTCTGTGCCCCCAGCACTTACCCCAATACCATAATCCCAGGAGAGGCCCTTAGGTTCCAGGGGCTGGACACCAGTCCGGTGGCAGACGGTCCCACAGCTCAGACTGTGACTGCCCTGCACTTTGTCAGCTATCACCCACACCTCAAGGAAGCAGAGAGAGGCAGTAAAATGTGCTGCTCTTCCCAGATGTGAAATCTCTGCCTGATCCCTTTCAAAAACCAGTCTTCTTCAGTAGGCTTAAAATACTCTAATTTAGGCAGAGAGAAACCCAAACAAACTATAGAGCAATGTTATAATTAAAACATTGCCAGATAAGACTTGGCAGGAAAGAGATTAAATATATGAAAAGACTTGTTAAAACATATAGCCTTGTTAAAAAAAAACAGAAAAAAAATTAATGAGGCTGTTTGCAGCAGTGGGCTTGGCTGTATCACTATTTCATGGGTATTAACTTTTCTCTTGCTATCACATTCCAGCATTTAGACCAACATTTTGTGCAATAAACAAAGCTAAGGCTGAAGAACATATAATTACTAAAGTATGTCCTACATAATTTTTAATAAACTAATGAGATACAAGGAAGCTTAATACACACCTGGTCCAGGGGCCCTACAGACATTTTACGGATATTATTTGATACATGATCCCACGTTGATCCTTGAGGGTAGCTGGGTGTGATACCCTGCCTGTACCAAAGATTGCCTGTAAAACAGAGTGCTGGTTACAGCCCAGCATGGCTGTTTGTCTGAAGTGCTGTAGACAACATAAATCAGGAATTAATTCTTTCTGTGTTCTGGGAAAATGCAGTTTTGGCTAATATGTGAGAGAGATGGACAAAATGAAGCTCCCAATTTGGAATTTGTATTTCTATAGTTACTGTTTATAAAAATAGCAAATACTCTGTTTTGTAAGAAAAGTGTTCATATAAGGAACTAAGCACTAGAAAACAAAAGCAAATGAGATTAAGCTTTCTGAATCTGGTGTTAAAGGCTTGTTTCTTGTACAAAAGGTGCTTCATGATTTATCTCTTTTGGAGCAGGATTCCAGACAAAACCCAGCCATGCAATTCTCTGACGTTCATCTGTGTCTTCCCCCCACAGAGCACAGATGCTGGATTGTCGTTACCCAGGGCACTATCAAATATAACAACAACCAACCTTCAGAAGCACCACTTAAGCGCACTGCTACTCCAGATCCTTCAATATGAAATATTACTCCCTTTGGAGCAGCAGTAATCATCTGTCCAGTTCTAACTTCGCCTCTCCTTTTTAAATCAGTCTGGTATAGACTGATGTACTTTTTGTAGCACTGACTAATAATTTTTTAAATCCTTACCATTTTTATCCAAGACAAACACAGATGTTCGTCCTACTGAGACTTGCTTTAACTTCTGTTTTTGAGGTGAAGGGATATGGTACCAACAGTCACCTAAAGGTTACAAATCTTGAGTTAAGCATTGAAAAAATAGAATTAGCCATGGAAATGTCTGCAGTTGAAATACATTGCTGTGCAGGAAAGCTGTGAATGACATCACACTTCATATATTTTTAACAGATTGTTTTTTACAAATGAACACTAAGTTACACAAGTGCATAGCAAATTAACTGCTATAATTGTATATTGTATTATTTGTATGCACTGTTTTGCACAGCAGTGGGAAAGGCCGGGAAACAGACTGAACTTTTTCAGACATGGCAGTGGAGCAGAGCAAAAGATAAAGTACAAGTTCTTACCTGCAGGTTTGTTTGGAGACACTGAACCCCGGTAGAAGGCAGAACCATCTCTAGCAATAGCCCACACTTGGTAAAATGCTCCAATGGAGATGGAAATGAAGGGCTGATCTGTTCCCACATGCAGCCAGGATGTTCCCTAACAAATCAGGGAGGTGAATTGTGAAGCAGTGGTTAAAATTTCCATGAGAAAATATTGTTGTTTACCAAATAAGAAAAAACCAACATAGTGAAAAATATTCTGGAGAATAAACCTTACATAACTTTACAACTGAACAGAAATAAGGTTGCTTATCCTCAAATATATTTGGATATACAGGTCTTTGAAAATCACTAAGTTGGACAATGAAGGGCCTTTTCTATTAAAATCACTGCATTTTAGGCATCTGCATGTCTCTGAACAACTGGACTAGAGCCTTTTTTTTTTTTAACTCCTCACAAAAGTCAACTGATGTGGCATTTCACATTCCAGACCCAGTATTCCAGGTCTCACTGCTGTACTGCCTTATGGATCAGAAAGGAAAAAAAAAATTGTAAATATTTTTTGTTTTCTTGTAGTTTTTCTCCACATTCTACTGAAGTATTTTCTTAGAAGTTTCTCCTGGTTTTTATCCTACTGGTATCAAGAGACACAAGACTGAGACCATGCTTCAGAGAGTCTATTCCTCAGCAATTCCTTTAAGTGGGATACACCTGTTATCAACAATTTCAAAAAACAAACAAAGGAAGAACTAAGCTGCCAGTGCAGAAAGTGGAACTAAAATCTTCATGAGAAGATGGCCAGGAGCTGAGAGAGGCTCCTGCAGGTGATATGGCAGAAGCTCAGGTAGATTATGCAAGAGAAGCACTATTATAAGGAACGTGGGCAGCAAACTGTGCTATAGCTGATGGACAGGGACTTCCAAATCTGGGACACAAAGGGATGAAAAATATCGAGGTGCTTTGAGAGAGGGCCCTGTGTGATTGTGTGTACTTGCATATTGCATTAAATACATCAATAAGCAGTAAAAACAAACAGGGAGCCTTACAGCTGGATTTTGCTGTGTCACTCCAAGCCTGCAGAGCACATCTCCTTTGTCACTGATTGCCCACAGTGCTACTGCTTCTTCATCATCTGCATCTGAACTGGGAATAATGGAGATGTCCCACAGGGTAACAGGAGGCACTTCCAGCCATGGCCCGTTGGTGACTATCTTACATTTTCTGAAGCAGAAAAAACCCAAACCTGTCAGAAGTATACTTTCTATAACTGGTTTCCCAGTCTATTGTTGACTTGCAGTCCTAAAAGTCTTTTCATTAGGCAGTGTTTTTCATTAAATATCAGTATTTTTAATTTGAAAGAGGTTTTTAACAATCAACCATGTTTTGCATTAGGTTTTGAAGTTTAAACTAGTACTGATTTCTCAAAGCTTGCGTAGTTTGGTTTTTTTTTAAGTTACTTTATAAAACCAAGGCCACCCAAGAAGTCTGCAACTGGTGCTACACTGCTCCATAGCTCTCTCAGATGCACTGGAAAACAGCAGGATAATAAATTGCAGAAAGAACTCCACACCCAGATCATTCCTTCCTCTGTCTTGGTTAAAGGAATAACTTTGCAATTCTTTTTTGGTTTGTCTGTTAAAAGGTTATGTAGCATCTTGAGGTAGGCAGAGGTAAAGCAGCTCTGACAGACTTGATAAGTCATGCTGGGACTTTGTGTACTTTTTCTGTGGAAATTGCACTGAAGTAGTGCTGTTTATTAGGGAAATTATGTTAGACTCTATCATCACCACAGTAATTTTGTGGATGAAGAATGTCCTAAAAAAAATCAGGATATTCCTCTGTTTTCCAGTTCTGAAAAAACAACCCTGAGTGGTTCCCTATTTGTTTTCAATTTTCAATTGATAGTTAAAACAAGAGGAAGTGTTTAGACTAGAGGTGTTTCTCAGGTTGCTTATTTTATTTCAGTTTAGTGGGTTTGTTTTGCTGTATATTGTGAAGTAACACTTTTGATGCTTCAGAACCTCACCTCACTTCAAAGCTTTGTACAAAGGGCAAAATACTTTGTAGCATCAATACCAAACCCAGCAGTGTGTAAGTTCACAGCAATTAATTAGCACAGATAATAGATGCTCTAGTATAGAAAGCATAGAAAAGTTGGAAAAACAGGGAATGCACAGACTTCTCCATCTTATAGAATATAGTGGCAGTTTGCTGTTTTCCAGGTTCCACCTGGACATTTCGTCTGACTGAAATGGGGCTGGACTATATGTGGCCCAGAAATGAGTATGTGGAATTCATAAGTTGAAACTATTAATATAAAAGGCCTATTACCAGCAGTTACAAGTGACCTAATATGTACCAATACACACAGTGTCTACTATTCCTTAATCATTTATCATAAGGAAAATCAGATATAGAGAAGAACTGTCTGACTTTTATCTACAGACCCCACAAAATCCAATAGGGTAACTACCCATAGAGACTTACAGTTAGAGACATAATGCTAAAGATCATCAGTTTCTCTGCTGGGTTATTTATTTCAGGTTTCTTTACTTTTTCTTTTTTTGATTGGGTGACAAGATTCTTCACCTCATAACTAAAGTAGACTTAGTGAGCAATTATTCAAGTTCAAAACTTATTTATATTGAGGTTCCTCACCTTGCCCAGCGCCTCCGTCGGACAAAGTCTTTCATTGTCTTGTGGCCATGGTAGGACCTACCAAAACAGATTTAAATGATGTTCATGAGGATGTCAGAGCATCTCCAGTGTCAGTGCCAGCCTGAGAGCACTGCCTCCATCTGCCCACCAAGCACCCCTGCTGATCTGAAAATTCTTCAAGTGACAGTTTGCCAAGTTCACTTTGCTGTCCTCCCTCCCTGCAAATATCAGCATGCCCACAAAAATGGGGGGAATGAGGCAGTGTTGTGTCCTTGATAAAGGGCAGTTAATGTGCAAACCAGAAATGAGAAGGAGTGAGGACTGGAGTCTGGGATTTGGTAGAAGAGGAGTTTCCTTACGCTGGGAAGTCAGCTGCATACTGCCAGCCCTCCCGGTCTGTGCCGCCTGCTGGGCTGAAGTCAATGTACCAATCCGAGACCTGTGGGCAAATGGGGACACTGGGAATAACAATCAACACCCAATGTATCATAAACACCTCTTCTTCTATTTACCTCCACCTTTTGGAGAGCAGTGACTTGTTAGAAATCTTCTAATACTTGGAATACATACAGAGGTTCCCAAATCTTTTTAATTCAGCTGAAGAGAAAAGGATCTAAGTCATATTAAACTAAAAACCCCACTCAGTGCCTAACATTCTTTTGACTATGGAAGATTACTGCTAGTTATGAATGGGGAAAACAAGGTTAAATATTACAACAAATCCCAGAAGAAAATTTGGGCCCCTTGAAGTCTTGTAGCCTACTTGCTAAGCCTGGACTTCTTTGTAAAAAAATTTGTAAGACAAAACTTACCCAAGACCACTGTGGAGAAGGAGGCTTGGTGTTGGTCTTTGTGCATTCCTGCAGGCCAGAGGCATCACTCCACATGTATCTATCTGTGGGCAGACCTCTGGTAATAGAACAGTGCACAAGGAATGCAAGGTCATTTATAACAGGGAGTTTAAAAGGGGAGGGAAGAAAAGCCATTTTGTAGCACTTCCTGCTTTCACACACAAAACACTGCTATCATTAATCTCCTTATTTAGAAATATCATGTGAGTGGTAAGCACAATGGGAAAGAGTCTGTACAATTGCTTCCAGTTATACCAAACTTGAGGATTATGTAAATTTTTCTCTGTAGAGTGATATTCCTCACTACCATTTAAAACTGGAGTGTGAATCCCATATATGTTGATATACACTTTTCAATACTTTTGCTCAAATATGCTATTCAAGGACCCAGTGTATTTAGCACAATATGTATACGAATATACACATGCTAATTACTTTTCTGTCTGGCCTTAACAGTGAAAGATACTGCAAGTAGGCACATTTCGTGCAATCACAAAGCATAAATCTGCAATGTTTTGTCATATTTGAATGGATAATTACAAATTAGAAAACTGAGAAACATTGCTCCTTCCATCATAGGTTAACTATGAATGTTGGAGGAGACTGAAGATTGAGTAAGTGTAATAACTCTTCCAAAAAGCTAGAACAAAGCTATTTTTTCATTTGACAGTGGTAGTATTAAAGTAAATTAATGGAATAAATTGCATAAATAACCTGCTGCTGTATCCAGTGACAGGGTTCCACCGTTGGTTCTCATAGATGTAAACACATTTCACATCTGACTGTGTATATATGTTATCAGCACTACTGGCCAGTCCTGTGAGGAATAAACAATGTGGATTAGAGTAAAGCTAAAGCTCAAAGACATTACATTTTAATTCCACCAGCCACTGATGATTCTGTTTCTCACTCCCAAGCTGTACCTTGGATGAAGCCACCTCCATATCCACCAGTGTAAACCCAGGCTGTGTGGTCGTAGCCGACGCCCCACACCACGCCCCGGCTGTTGCTCTCGATCAGCCGGAGGTGACCTCCCACCTGCCGCCAGAACCTGCCAGGAAAAGGACACTGTACTCAACACCACATCCTTCAGGAATGTGTGCTTTTCCCACCAACAACCCGATAATCTTCAGCACAGGCCACCTTCTCTGCTCAACTTGTCCAACTACTGTGTAACCTGCAAGGGAAAGCAGCTGCCAGTTGAAAGCATTTCCCTCTGAACAGCTCCCAAAAAGCAGATGGTATTGTTCTGCTTGAGGGGTTTGCAGTACCATGTTGCCACAGTTGTCATAAAAACTGTTGAGAAACTGCTCCTGTACTGCAGTGTCTATGGAGGACTGAGAATTTCAAATTTCTTGACTCAGATAAAACTGAAAGCTCAAATTATATTCCAATCACAGCGATTAGATTTACTTTCAGTTTAGGCTATCTCTTATGACATTAAAGATGCAATGACAAAAAATGGGATTTCAGTGAGAAAGGCTTTTGAAATCACAAGGATATCTCCAGCGAATTAAAATATGATTTGTTGAATTTCTTCACGTGCAATCATGAGTAGAAAGGCAGCCATTAACCCTGTCAGTAAGACACCTGCAGTGTTCTACACACTCCAACAGCCCATCAAAGCCACTGAACTGACAGGACATTCTTTGCTGGATGGCATCCCATGCAGAAAGAATAACCTCAGAGGCCTCTTACATTTGATCACACGGCATCAGCTGGGGTCCGGCCTCCAGCTCAGGACTTGGCTCACTAACAAAGATGTCTCCTTTACAAGTAACTGACCAAATGGCATGGTGAGAAGGAGGGCCTTGAATCCGTCTGCTTTCACAGCAAGACATGTTCAGCAAAGACAGCTACAAAACAAGAAGCAAAAAAAGCTTCCATTTACAGTGAGAACAAAAATTTCCATAGAGATGCTCAGTACTGTAAAACAAAATTTTACCTCTGCACGTTCTTGCAAATCAGCAAAGTGAATATGCAGCTTTTTCTCAAAAGGCACTAGAATTCAGTGGTTCAGAAATTATTATACAACCACTGGAACCGCTGTGGTTTGCAGGAGCTGATCAGGATGAAGCATCTCTCAGGTTTGCCCCTGCTCCAGTGTATCTATGCCTGTCTGCCTGTACAAAAGACTCTAGAACAGTGACAACAGAGAATGGTTCTTCTACCAAAGCAGAAGAACACAATAACTTAATTCAACTCCTAACTCATTCCTACCCTAATCTATATCCAGAGATAGGAATAGAATGAAAAACAATATTGGTGTTGCTGTGGATAACTGCAGCACCAGAAAGCAAGCAGACTTCAGAGGAGATAACAAGCTTCAGGTGCCTCTAAGTACGTTTGATCAAATGGTTTAAATACATAAACTTAAAAGACAGCTGGGTAGCCTCAAGAGTTTAAGTGTAATGCTGACATTTTGGAGACTGGCTTCTGTGTTTTATTGCAGACATTGCCAGCTTGAAATGAGAGATGCCCAGAATTACCCAGTCATGCATTTCTTGCTCTGTTGCGGCTGCCAGGCGGATTGGCCATCGCTGCTTCGTCCTCTCAGGTGTGTAGAGTGCAAAGGAGTGCTTGGCTTCATTCAGCACTTCAACTATAATGGTCACTTCATTCAGGAACACATGGATGTACTAAGACAAGAGAAAAAAAAACCTGTGACTATGGCAAACCCTCCCCAGAGCCAGCATTTTCACACTTCAGGTCTACAAACAAGGCGTTCTTGCCAAGGACAGCAAAGAATCAATTCTTGGCACAGAGGGAATGGGACTCCATTTCCAGTCATTCCCTACCTCTGATTCCTATTGCCTGCAGGCATTAACCCTACTTGGGAGGATCCTGTCCACCCAAGCTGGGCTCTTCACAATCAACAACACTTTGAACTTCCAGAAGAATTCCAAACTAGTGCAGAACTGATGGTTTAAGCACTGTGAGTGGTTTGTGATTGGGTATTTCTGACGCAGCCTTAACACAGCTCAGAAAAGCCTGGATGCAGTTTGTTAGTACCTGGGGTTACCTTTGACTTGGTTCCCAAACCTCAGAACAGTGGCATGCCATAATTTGCCTCCTTTAAAGAAACTGTTTCCCTTTGCCAAAAGCAGCTCTCCCAGAGGTCTGCCGCTGAACACACCTTTTTCTCCTCATGGTACATGTAATAGATGAACAAGATGCTGTCGCGCATCCCATCGCTCCCAGTGAACTGCTCCAGTGCAACTCGAACGTCCATCCACTTATGAGGCTTCCAGTTCCTCCACCACTGCAAAGCTCCAGTTTTAACCCAAACCGACTGCAAGACAAACACAAAATTACAGGACTAAAAACACTGCATGACTCTGTTTCTTTCTCCCAAATGCTGTTTTTGTGCCCACAAGTTGTATCTGCTGCAGGCTAGTCTGTATCACACCTCATCACACATTCGTACACCTGTATCACACATTCACATACAGAGTGTACCAGAGTATGCAAACTCATAAAAGTAGATAAAATGATACTGAAGTAGCATGCATACAACAGTACTAACATTTTTACCCTGCAAGAATGCAGTAGGACACAGGTAGTAATTGACTCAAGTTTGTTCTTGTTATAATACAACCTCTCTTTGGAGTTTAAAAACTTTTGACATAATTTTTTTTAAACTTGATTAAAGCCCTGGACTCCAAGTGGTTTTAATCAGATAATTCCAAATGTCATTTGGCAGTTAGCAATGAAGGGACCAAAAATATGAATGAATCTGAAAAGAGCCAAGGAGTCATAACAAAGGGAACATCAAACAAAACTGCTGCTATTTATGTGCTGCCATTGACGTTTGCAGCATTTATTTACGCAAGTTAAATTAGTCCTAATGGCCACAGAGAGGGAAGCTCACCTACTTGAGTCACTGCTTCAATTAAGATGCCTCATCTTGTGGTGGAATAATTCATACAATGTTGTGCTGTTGCAACCATTTCTCTGAGGATTTGAGGTCTCACAGTACCAAATAATGCTGACCAATACTTTGTTTCTTCCTAAATAAAACTATCTGATAATGCTTTTAGATGAATACTGCTGCTCCATGTTTGACAAGCTGTTAATTTCCCACAGGGAGCTCAGATATTAATAATCCAGGAAAGTTGTCATAGACAGAAGTAAGGGCAAGAATATAAAGCTGACAGTAAGCTCAAATCAGTATGTCAGGAATGTATTATTGACTCCCAGATGTGTTTGGAAGAGAGAAATGTCCTCACTGCTTACCTGCTCAATAGCCTGCTCATAGTGCCTGAAATTCTCCAGTTCCCGCTTTGTCCTTTCACTGAGCTGCTGAAAAATCTGCTTCCTCCATGCTGCTGTCTGTGCAGGAGTGATGGACAGGGAGAGAGACTGCACAGATGATGACAAACCTAGCACAGAACCAAACCAAATAAACTCCAGTGAGCTTTGAGTACAGCTCTGTGAAAGGTAAAACACTGAGCTCCTTTGAACACCAGACTGGATCGATCCAGTCTAACACCATTTTTATAATGATTATAATTTGGAATCAATGTATTACAGCCAAACTTCACAAATGATACACAGAAATAGGATCACTAGATGATTATATAGAGGCTTTTAAAGCCATAACCTTATAAAAATGAGGGTTTTGTCACTGAACTGCAAGATAATTAGATAATACACTGCATCATAAGTTAGTCTGTTAAATACTGGGATGCCACAGTCCATGGTTTATTTTATCCACTTCACTAGGAATGGCAGAGTGAGGCAGTTACTGCCTGCATCTGCATCTCCCAAGAGAGCCCTTTTCACTCCTTCCTGTTACTGCTCAGTGATATTATCTGTTTTGCCCAAAGCTGCAGTTTCAGTACAATTAAAAATGAGATGTAGATCCAGCACAGATTACTTTACAAAATTGCTACAGGAACTCAAGAGAAAATATCACTTTTACATTTACTTATCTCAAGCCCCAAGTGCTCTACAGCTAAATACTGCAGCATTATGCTCAGACATGAACCTATTAACAAACTGCAGTAAGAAAAAGTGGGTTAGCACAAGTTTTGCACCATGGCTTTGCACAGAAAAAACCAAACCAGCATTTCTCCTAAAGAGCGTATTGAGCTGTGACTGGAACTGGGGTGTGCTGTGGTGACTGGCCAGTACCTGATGGAGCAGTGAACCACTTGAGTGGGCTGTGCAGATCTACCAGACAGCCTCCCCCAGACACCCAGGCCCACAGAGGGTGCTCATCGGCTCCGTACTGCTCTTCAGCTCCCACCGAGAACACGCCCAGGGAAGAGAGGCTGGATGTGTCTGCAAAGCTGCTGACGGAGAGCACTGGATGCTTCTGAGCCTCCTTCAAGTCAATATTTATCCACTGCAGTTCTGCAGAAGGATTTGGGTTTCCAGGAGATTTATTCATTTCAAGGTTATCTTTCTCATTACTAGCTGAAACAGCAGTGGCTTCTCCTTGCTCAGAGTGCAGAGGATCCACAGGCAGCTGTGCAGATGTTTCAGCCTGGCTGGCTGGGCCATTCCCAGCAGCTGCAGCTCCCAGCAGGGCAGTGCTGGCAGGGCTCGAGGGCACGCCGGGGAGCTCTGTATCAGAGGAAGGATCTGCATCACCCTGAATGACCGCGCTTGTTTGGTTCTGAATATCATCAGTAAAGAAACAGCCAGCACTGAAGGACAAATAGATAATTAATTATCATCCAAAGCATTGTAAATCAGCACAGGCCTTAGATTGCAGACACACAGAAACTGACAGTATTTCATTGAAGGAGAGAAACAGCAGACTTCTCTTTTAAATGTCAGATTTTATCATCAGAGGAAAGAGTCCAATACAAATCTAGCAAAACTATGAGTCTAGTAAATCTGAAACATATGAGGAATTCTATTGATCTTTTCAAACAATTGGTGGTGTTGGCTACCTACAACTCTCAGGAAAACATACCATTTTCTGAATATGAAATAACAAATAGGATTTTTTAAAGCCCATTATTAACTTTATGATTTGTCTTTGCTAAAGGGAACTTCTCAGCACACACTCTGGCTCAAACAAGTCAGATCCACTGGCATGTGTGGTACAGCCCAGAGGCCAGCAGGCAGGGGGAGTAACTGATTTAAGCTCCCTAGGAAAAGAAACATACAGTGACACTCAGGAAGAGTAATTCCTAAGTGGAGTTGACACTCCTTCATGGTATATCATAAACAACATCTTCTCTTATTAATAAGAGACTAGTTCCAGATAGTGATAATAAAGCCCAGAGGAACATGCTTTACCGCAGGCATGCAGTGAATTCCAATGTGGGAGCTTCAGATTCTTCTCTGAGTGCAACAACTGCTGCTTATTGTTAATTTTAATGGCAAAAATGCAAATGCTTTTTGGCATACATAATGATTAGAGATGCGTTCCCCACTCCTCCTTGTCTGTATCCCTTGAATGTCAAGAAATATCTCCTAGCATTGAAACCCTTGCTGTACAAAGTCTTGAGCAGGTATTTCATGAAGTACCTGAGCAGACTTGTTGAGCTCCCAGTCTGAGATCTGTCACTCTCTCTGCCAGACACAATTGCCTTCCACGTCTTCCCACTGAGCTCACTTGGTGTGACTCCTTGACGAAAATAAATCGCTCTGTCATCGCAGCCGATTCCCCAGACCTAGGGAGGGAAAGGGCTTGGTGAAGGAAATGGCTTGGAATGCAGTAGGTATCAGATACAAAATAGGTGCAATGGTGCAGAATTGAGCACAGAAAACTGCTGGCCACGGTGTTTTCCTTTTATGTTCTTCCTTAATGCTGACACTGTAGATGCAGAACAAAATTCTGGACCAAAACCAGTCTGCATCTCCGTGTGCCATACAAGATGTGCTGGCTGTCACCTTCAGGTGCAGAATTGCAGAACTTAGTCATTTTCCCTCCCAGCAGTTTAAGCCTTTTTGTCCAGCCAGCCCTATTGGCTGAGGGCCCTCACCACATGTGAACAGCTCCTGCACTAGAGAGAACATACCCCTTAGAGGTAACATTACCCTTTAGAGAGGAATGTAAATACCCTCTCAGCTGCTCCCCAGCTCTCTTACCTGGTTGTTTAAGCCCACGGTTACCATCATCATTTCTCCAACCATTTCAATCCAACTTGTCCCACAAGGATTATGTGAGTTCACTCCTCTTCTAAACCACACCTACAACAACAGAAAGTCTAAATTATTCTCCTTCTACTCTAGCAGGATTTTAGTTTCTTTAGTGGATTAGTCTTAATCTCTAATACTGACTTGCCACATTGTCTTAAGAAGTCAATTACTTCCTTGATTCTTTATCAGATAAAGATAAAACAATTCTCCCAATAGTACCCACATTGTGTGTCCACCTGCAGCCAGAAAAGCCAAAAAAGGAGACTTTTTTGTAGGAGTTTCTGTGACAGAGTTAGTTTTTAAGCTATTGGAAAAATGCTTTCTATTACTATCAACATGTAGGCTATATTTGACCACACTGAATGGGCTTCTAAATAGTGCTCTTACATTCAAATCCTAGAAGCAGGGCTGCCAGAGAGAACTGTCAGGGGCATGTCTTTAGCAGTACAGCTCTTTAAATTGTCTCCCCTTAGATCTGACTACTAATCTGGAAGTGTCTGTGTGCTGGGCAGCTGGAAGTTCACTCTGTATGTAGCATATATCCACATAGTCATAGTAGCAAGCAGCTCCCTTAGAAGCTGTTGGTTGAATCCCATAACATCAAGATGTTTGACTGCCTGTGGCAGATCTGAAGGAAAATGCACCAGCTTATCTCCATTTATTACAGTGGATTTATCTGGCAGATGGAGAAGGCTGGGCACAGCCTGTTACCATGGCTCAGATGACAAGTAGTGACTCACTACACCAGAGAAAGTCAACTGCTGCACATGCACAGAGTTCAGGCCTGGCTTTGAATTCAGTGTGAAGGAGCAGGGAATGGGGCTCCATGATCTTTATGGGTCCCTTCCACCTTAAGACATTCCATCATTCTAAGTTAAAACTCCACTGAGAAAGTAATCACACATCCACATAAGAGATATCTCAGCTAATTAAAAAACAAAACCCCGCATTAAAAGGCTGATGAAGAGGGAACAGTTGCAGTAGGAAGAAAAAACCAGCATAATTCAGGAAAGTGTAGATGAGGATACTCCTCCTGCTGCTTTTGATGTAAAATTCATTCCTTGTGGAAACAGGAGTCACTTCAATTTTGATACTTAATATCCTTTAGAAGAGGCTCCTCATCCAATACCCACCAACATCCCCACCCACCTGCCAAATCTGTCTTATTCGGGTTTAGAAAATTCCTTCCAAAAGAAAAGCAAAAAGTCTTCCTTAAATTCAACTTAACTATCACAAACCACAGAGCATTCCCATAACAGCAAGGGGAACTAGAATTCCCCAAACCATGGGGATCGAGAGTTCAAATCACCAGTGCTTCCTCTGCAAGTTACACTCCAGTTTGAGAGCAGCACGCAGGGAAAGGGAAGAAAAAAGCAAAAGCAGAACATCAGCCCTCTTACTTTTCTATCCTTTGTAACACACCACACCACATCAACACCCACGGAGACATGCATGATCCCATTTTCAGAGCTTGGAGACTCCACAGTACTCCAGGAAATTCCTGCAAAACACAGAACCCAGAAGGCACTGTAGGTTAGTTTTTTATTCAACATTATACAAATCAAAGGGGTTTCCAGCCAGATTTAACAAACTTTACCTTGAGGATTATTCCTATCAATTCCTTCTCTCACAATAGCTTGCCCTTCCCAGAGAGTTGCCCAAAGGAGGTCATAGGGGCCACAGCTGATCTGTACAACTTCACCAGGAGTGGTGACTAAGGACCACGTGGAACCTTCTGGATTGTGATGGCAGACATTTTCTCTGTACCATACCTAGACAAGTTTAAAAAAACAAAAAAAATGAAATAAGAAAAAAATAATATCACTACAACAATGAAACCATTGAGACAAGAGTAAAGACAAGCTGGAAAGAATAGCTCTCCTTTAACAACAGGATTCTTTTATGTACTGTATGGCACTCTGACCTTTAAAGGTACTTTTTTTTTAATGTTGATTATGCAATTGAAGCTATTTCCTCATGTACTAAGGGAGGAGGCTGTTCTACAGAGTAGCTTTTATCATGGAACTGCATCTGGATTGGTTACAGTAACTTAATGCTACAAGTTCTGTGTATATTTCAACATTTAAACCACTTCAGTGTATTTCAGGGCATGTTATATAAACCAAGAGTGAACAAACACATAACACAAAAATGTTACTGTTAGCTGACAGCCTGACCTCACTTTCACTGAACAGAGCTTGCCACAATATGGGGGAAAAATTCCATTCACTGTGCAGCCTTTGGTGACATCCAGCCATTTGCTAGTCCTGGATGGTGCAATTTCTGTAGATCACAGTCAAATAGGAAGGTCAAACACAGAAAGCATGTGTGGCAGTCATACGAATGCTCCACAGCATGACTGCCGAGTGCTAAATCATCATTTTTAGGAATACTTTATCTCCCCAGGGACTTTCACTTGGGAAATAAAAGCATTTTACAATGGCAGTTGAGTAAGCCTGTAGACTGGGAGGCTTGTCACGTTTTACTAGAAAGTATGAGGAATAGGGAATTTTTATTTTAAACAACTTAACCAAGATTGCTTGCCTCTCCAGGCAGTGCCAAACATGACTGAAAGCTTGGGTTATCTGTTAAAAGTATTACATTCTGCCCTGTGAGACCACAAGTTAGAAACTGTCTAGACACAAAGGAATATCAGGTACATGATGTAAGGATGAAGGAAGGAAAACAAGAATCAAATTTTCACAGGACTGAGCAAAAGAGGAGACCCCATGGGAGGCCTAAAACCAACAACAGAGAAAGATGTGTAGTTTTCAATAAAAAATAAAATTAAAACATTTCAGAGCTGGATGCCACCTTGCCAGGTCAGGAGGTGGCCACTTTCCAGTCTTAGAAAACCATTTTGAAAACTCTTGAATCTGTCTCTCCACCCCAAAGGCACAGCACAATGCTTCACTAGAACCTTTGTCAGGTTTTAAGGTTCTCCTGGTTCCCAGCACCACAGTCAGAACATTCTAGGCATTTTAGGCATTCTAGGCATTTTTCAAGATAAAAGATACTACTCAGCCCAAGTTTTCAAGATTCACCTTTACATAGAGGTTAAAGGCTTGCATAAACAACAACCCTAGAGGTACTAAGCCTTTGCATTTACAACACAAGCTGTTACATAATGTAGTCCCAAAGCATCTCTTCATCCTCTGCCAGATGCACAAGCAGTGCATTTCCTTACCAATATAAGACAATAACAACTCTGCCTTCCTTTACAAGTATTTAATGCCTTTTCACTAGTAATCTTCTTTAGAAAACTTAGGAAACACACACATACCCTTCCTTGCAAAGAAACTGCCCACACTGACAGGCGGCCGAGAGGCTCGTCCGTGATCTCCCATCCTCCAATAGAGATGTCATTGAAAGGGTCTGGCAGCTGGTCTGGTTCATCATGGGACACAATCTGGAGCAAGGGAAAGACGGTTGAGGAGAGGAATCACTGCAAACAGGTGACTTGGCTGGTGGCATAACTTGTGTCTTGCAGCTTGATTATGTATCACTTACTAGAGTGGCTGAGGATGGAGATTCTCCCTCTCCTTCAAGGCCTCTATATGCAGAGAGGGGAAATGCTGCCAAGGCAGCATGGAGAAGTCTGTTTTGCACCCTAACTAAAGGAAATTTTTACTCACAGAACAGTGCATACAGAATTGGAAAGCTGAAAGATTAAAAATTACAATTTTTGTGTTCTTAAAATGGAACACCAATTACTAAAGAACGTACTATTCACACAGATAAAGGACATAGCTTGTGAATGATGCAAGGCAGGTACCACCTTGAACGAGAGTGCTTTGTCACACAACCAAAGGAAGTTAAAAAGTTGATCTGAAATTTGCAGAGGAGCTGAACATCCATCTCTAATTGCATCACCATGAGATCTGGCACCTTTTTACAACAGGTTTCTATGAAAAATCCCAGCCTTCCACTTATGCTTACAAGAATAGCAAGTTGGAAGTGAAGGAATCCAAGTCCAGCCTACAGAGAAGTCATAAAAAATTAACTTCTCTGCACTTATAATTGATTATTTCAGACAATCAGTCTATTTAATATTTAAAAGAGATCCAGAACCTTCGCCCAAACGTCCCGTGATTTGTATCTCCTGTATCTGATCCATCTCCTGCGTCTGACACAAGAATTCCATCTCTTATCCTTTGTGTAGGTGCTGGGGAAGTCTATGGCATAGGTCCAGCCCTGCAAACAGAGGTTTTCTTGTATGAAAAACAGGATCAAGGGAATGCTTGAAGTCATAACTCAGAGCAATTCTGCACAAGAGTCACAGCACAAGTCACTCTGTGTGTCTCTACAGCTCTGATTAACAGATCAGCTAATTCCACAAATGATTTATGAATCATACCCGAATTCCTCTGGAGATATACACAGAACAAGACACAGTAAAACATTTTTACTTTCTGCATAGTAAAGACCTTAAATAACAATGGCATTCAGTTGCCAGGATTTCGTGGCCTGATCAAAAGAAAAAAGCTTCCACAGAAGCTCCTGTAGACTTCAAAAGCCTTCAAACAAGATCCTTCTTTCTGCTGTATTAGAGTTGAGCTATTTCCCAGAAAGAAGTTTTATTTTTAGACTACTTTACACTTCTAAAAAGTTTCTTTAATTTTACAGATTAAGGATTCCCAGAACAGATCTTTTGGGTATTGTTCACCTACCCCTTTCTCTGTTGGTTCCCCTCCAATATTTTCATCCACATACCAGTCAGACTCCCACTCCCAGTGTGGTGAAGGCAGTGTGAAACTATCAAGCTGCTGGTGTTTTAGCCCGCTCACATCACTCCACTGCCAGCGGTCACTGGGCAGTAATTTCTCACAAAAGCCACCAACTGGATTCCAGCGCTGCCAGAAATAATAAATAAAGTATTTCATTTGAGATCACATTATCTCATTGGACACCTACAGGGAGTCATGACACATTTCTTATTTTCTGCAGCAGAAGAGGAATAAATTCCTGGGGTGAATGAGAAAGTGTTCACTGCATGAGCCCCTCCCTGACACAGCCTTTGGAAGAAGCTTTGTTCAGTATCAGAGGAGGGCTGACTGCAGAACTTGTCCCAACCAAGTCATTTTCAGCTACATAAACAGGACCATCTGATGCTATATTTTACCAGGCACAGGGCTTTTTCCTTTGGTGATGTTTGGCACCATGACACTGCAGCATTAGGGTAATGCTGTGTGGATAGCCTTGGTAGCTCTAATCTACTCCCAGAGAAAGATGATTCATATCTTGTCTGCACTAGAAAAACAGCACTGCCTCTGCCAGGAACAGTGTCAAGAGAACTGTATCAGCAAATGTACCCTGGATCTTATGGTATATTTTTTCCCTAATCTAACTTGAATCAGTTACAGAACTGATAACACAAGAGTTTTCACCTATACTTCCATTTTTTTTCCCCCCACACTCCTACATACTATAGATATACTGGCAAAATCTGTCCTCTAACACTGTCTTATGTTTTAGGGCACATGGAAAATGAGTAGTTCAAAATCCATCTGTAATTTTTACACAAAATATTATTTGCTGTTACTAAAAATCTGTCTAAATTGCCTTTCACATTATCTGCAAACTACTTCAGTTTAATTTTGTCGTTGTTAGCTCTTGTAGAGTATTTCTTTTTGTGCTTTCTAGTATTTTGTTTTCCGTTTTTCAGTACCTAGAACAAACAAAACAAGTTTTAAAGTAACAAATAAAATTTTAAATTTTGCATTTTTAAATAACATGTTTACACAATAAAAGGAACATTCTTAAATGGCTGAAAAGCTGTATCAGTATTAAATAATGTATAAAATTAATTTGTTGTACTTTTGCCCATGCAGGTAAGTTAATGTGTCTTCCCAATTTATATTCAATCTATTGCCCATTAAAAATCAGAGAAATGTGCTCAAGAAAATCCATCCATTTTCTCTCCCAATTAACTTTTGGTTAACTTAAAACCAAATTTGATAAGTTTCCTTTAAAATACTATTTTAAAGATATTAGTTTGAATGCATCAGATAGAAAGGATCACCTTAACACTTCTATGCAAAAAAGTTGGAAACATTGTACTTTAATGGAAAGTTATGCCTTTATTAGAGAAGTCTTTGTAACACTAAGAAATAGCATTTTTTAAAAGAATAATATATTTCTGATAATGTATCTTTGTTGCCTGGAAGTTACATGGGACATTTTCTAAGGGGAATTGTGTATTTGTCACTAAGGAAAGGAGAAATGGAAACCACTCGGTGAAAAGGGTGAGTGAAATGGTTCACACAGAGCTGGAGTTCACACTGGCATTGCTTTTGCTAGGAGCAGGGAAGTGTAACTCCTTTGGGAATTTAAATACTACAAGAATAACCTGGTATTTGGCACATACATGTACTCTTCAGGACCTTCTGGTAAAAAATGAAAACAAATAAAACTTATTAATCCTCTTGTGAGAAAAACACACCGAGACAACTGATGTAGGATGCGCTGTCAGTCCAAGCAGTGGCAGTGTGAGAGGTATTGTACCTGTCATACCTGGTTCTCATAGGTTTCCTCCTGGTATCTGATGGGAACATCTCCTGAGAACACGTAGGTGTACACCTGATGGTCACAGGCTATTCCCCAGCAGCACTGTTTGACAGCAGAGACCCGTTTGAATTCCAGCTGTGTGTCCTTACACAGCTCCCAGTACTGGCCAACAGTGGAGAGAGTGTAAACCCTCCCAAAAATGTCAACAGCCCACAAAAGGGAACTGGGCATGGCCATATCTGAAAGGCAAAAATGAGGTTATTACTGGAAATGATAGGTACAAAAATGGATCTTGAACCATTTATCTTGCAGATCAGTCATGCTCTGAGCCATCATCAGTCAAATTAAATAAAGATGTAAGTGATGATTTTTTAAAAAGAGCCTGTGTAAAGCTGGTAGCTAGATCTCTTTGTCAGAGCTGTGCAGCCCACACCTCTCAGATATCCCTGAAAAGCCGTAAGAAAGACCTTTCTACCAGACCATCTATTACTGTCCATCCTACAAGAGCTCAGAAATAAACAGGACACCTCTGGCAGGCTGGGGACAGACATTAGTTCAGATGTGGGTTCAGAAAACCACAAAGCCCAGAGCTCCATGGACTCTGCAGCTACAAAAAGCATACCAAGGGGAACACAGGACTGCCACAACGTGGCTCCCTCCACACCTTTCTGTTTGGCACCAGCTTCACCCTCATGAGGTTTCTACTGCTCCACCTAGGGTTAGGGTTATGCCTAGAGTTAGGGTTCAGAAAACCACAAAGCCCAAAGCTCCAGGTGAAAGAGGAATTCTTGTTTGGAGTTGGTGTGGAACACTTCTTTGCTGTAAATGGCAATTCTGCTTTTAATACAAGAGTCTAAGGAGAGCTGCCTGCCTGTTTTGTGACACAAGTGGAGGCACATAGGGACTGACTTGCACCGTGTATGTGAATGGCAGTGGAGAAACTGGAGAATCTCACACAGCTGGGTCAAAGAACAGCACAGGAAATTCCCAAGGGATCCCAGGGACAATATATCAGGAGTCTTTGTTTCCTAGAAATTCTGATGCTAAGTACCTAAAAACCTGGATCCAACAGATGAAGTTCAACAGGTAACAGCGATAAGAAAACACAAAGCAGCAGAGAATGAGTGGTACCAGGGGAAGGCCTGAGCAAAATTCCATTGCTTGTAGCATAAATAAAACGAATCCTCTGCTTTTGACCGTTTTTCCCTCATTGTTCCTGGGGCTTTGAATGCATGCATGTTTGTCTGCTCTTGGATCAGCCATTTACCTTCTTTATATTTTCCTATAGTGGAGTGTAGAAGGACATAACATGGAATAATGGAATGTAAGGAAATGAAGATAAGGTGAAAAGTGTGTGTGTGTGTGTTTGTGTGTACCACTGGGAAAATAAAGGCCATGAAAACAACCCTTCAGTATTAGCATTTAAAATTCTCCAAAGCAGTGTTTATAACAGAAGAAAATATTATGCACTTCAGCAACCAGAATGCCAGAGAGTCTGGAATAAAGGAAGCATTATGGATAATGCAACAACAACAGCTACCTAGCTAGTTAACAAATAAAAGTGATGCTTGGGTCTCTTAAAGAGAGGCAAAAATATAAATTAAGGCCTGTACCTGGAATGATAGTCCAGGCAGACAGAAAAGTACCTGGAACAGTTTGGGAAAAGGTGATGAAAGTTCTAAAGATTATGAAGTTAAGAAAAGGTGGGACAATTAAAATAACACAGGCTAATGCAACTGGTTTAAAATACTCAAGGCAGCCACGACAAGTGAGAGTTTCTACATATTCTTTCAGCTGAACTTTTGAGACAGTGTTTGGGGAATCACGGGAAAATCCCAAATGCATTTGGGATTATAAACTTTTAAGACTTCACTTTAGGCCCCTTTGCACTGGCTGTGCTGCAGATGAAGACAAATATTGCCCAATCTTGAAGGATGTTCAGTGCTGCTTGTCTATTTGCTTGTCAGTGAAGGCAGAAGTTGTAAAGTATTCTCAGGGGCCTGTAAAAAATCAGATCTTCTAAATTATTCCTCACCCTGCAGCTCAGACAGGTAATTTTGGACAGAACTAAAATGCCTAAATGAAGACAACATATTGTTAATTAAAATTTCCAGTGGCCTGGTATAATGCTGATTGCTACAGAATTCAAGAAAAATATCCCAACTCCCTGAATATAATAAAAGCAATGATGTTCCTCGTGAGAGCAGGGCCCTGTCCCCGAGTTCAGGCCGTGGCGGTGGCAGGATGTGAAGCACCCCAGGACTCGACGTGTTCCAAGGCACACCGCGCACACATTTCTCCTCCGTGTCACACGAACCGAGCGGGGACTCCTCCGGTACCCCCGTCCAGCCACGGACGCGCCGCTCGGAGCCCGCGGGGATCCCAGAGCGCTCCACAAACGCGCCCAGGCGCGCAGCGCGCCCGGCAGCCCCGCACGGAGCCCTCCCGGCCGGGCATTAAGGCCGGATCGGCTTAAGAGCCGTGCGGGGCTGCGGCGCCCCGGCCTTGGGGCGGCCCCGGGCCGGGCACAGCCCCGCTCGCCGCGGGCTGCGGCAGGAGGCGGGCGCGGGGCTCCGGCGGCGGCGGCGGCGCCTCCCGAAACGCCCCGGGAGCCCCCCACGCCCTCCCCGCGGGGGCTGCGCGGGGGTGCCGGCACCTCCCCACGGCTCCGCCACTGCTCCGACAGCGCTGGAGCCGCCGGGAAGGGCGGCAGGGTCCCGATCTCCACCCACCCTGCCCTGCCCGGCCCTGCCCTGCCCTGCCCGCCACCGGCCCGCTGGCAGGGAGCGGCGCTGCTCCGGCCCGGCCCCGGGCTCGCCCCTCACCTGCCTCCCGCCGCCCGGCGCCGCTCCCGGCGGAAGGAGCCGCCGCGCCCCGGCAGGGCGGCCCCGCGGAGCCGCGGCCTGCGGGGAGCGCCGCGCCCACACCGGCTCCGAGCGCCGCCGCCATTGGCGCGGGCCGCGCGCGTCACGGCCGGGGCCTGGCTGAGGGAGCGCCGGGGCCCCCTGCGGGAGCTCCACGGACAGCGACAGAGCTGAGCGAGCGACTGGAGCCGATCTTGTGAGGGAAGGCTGAGGGAGCTGGGCCTGTTCGGCCTCGAGTAGAGACGACTGAGAGGGGACCTCATCCATGTGTAGAAATATGGAAAGGGAGATGTCAAGAGGATGGAGCCAGGCTCTGCTCGGTGGTGCCGAGCAATAAACGAGAGACAACGGGCAGAAACTGATACAGGACATTCCACCTGAACATGGAGAAGAACAATTTTACTGTGCGGTGACCGAGCACCGGAACAAATTGCCCAGAGAGGGTGTGGGGTTTCCCTCGCTGAAGATATTGAAGGACTGTCTGGATGCCATCTTGTGCCATGCACCCTAGAGCGACCCTGCCTGAGCAAGAAGGTTGAACAGATGAGCCACTGTGGTCCTTTCCAACGTGACCCAGTCTGTGATGCTGTGATTCTGTGGAAGGGGCTCATGCCCATCCGCCTGTCCGGCTGCTCAGAGTGAGCAGGGGCTGCAGACGGAGTGAGGGAAACCAGCCTTTGCCTGAAGTTGTGGTGCATCAGTAAATGCCCTGCCTGAGGTGTAAAGAAGGAGGTAGACTTTCCTGTCACAATTTGTGGCAGTAGAGTAGGAGCACAGTAACAATCCTCCTTCCCTGGGTGACACCAAAGGTGCTGCTTAACATTTATTACAAGATATCACTCACCCTGCTACAAATGATAACCTCCCTTTGAAACTGCTTGCTTGTACATCTCAGCTTTTGCCATCACATTCCAGTTCATTTTGAAGTGAGACAGAAAACCTAAAAATATAGGCAAGGACTCCCATACCTGTCCATTCAAATGTCTGCCCCAAAAGTATCCCAGACCATCATATATCTTGCAGGCCAGTACAGGAGTTGAAAAAGCATTGCAAGACCTTTTTCAAAGGGATCTGGCAATCAGTTATGAATCTTGCCCGAGGAGTTTATAGTTGCTGGTTAAGGAGAATATGTTTGCCTTGTGCTTTCCTGTGGACTGTGGGTTCAGATGGTTTTGGTCTGTGGAGGGTTGTGGTTTGGAGGGTTGATGCACACATGAAATTCTCTAGAATGATTCCTGTGTGAGTAAAGCCATTGTGTCTGGGTTGTTTCCTGGCTGAGCCCTCAGGACACTTGACTTGCTGCAGTAATTTGGTCAGAGGGGGTTTGTTCAGAGAGGTTTCCTGCTGTTGGCTCTTCCATGCTTTCCCAAACCTCACTTCTTTAATAGAAGGATTTTTCCTTGTTACTTAATATTCATTTTAAGGAAATACCTTTCCCCTAATGAGGAAGTACTGCATTGCATTTGTGTCTTAAGATTTTTCATTCAAAAGCCTCATGCAATATTTATACTGCTACAGTTAAAGTAAGCAAGAGAGCCCTCAGAAGATGTTCCCCTTCCAGATGGGTCACCTGCAAACCAGAGGAAGGAGACAGAAGGCAGGAGGGCACAGACCCCCTCACCATAGTGTGATGCTGGCACTGGCTTGGATTTGGGGTAGTGTGATCTGTGTTCCCATCTCTTTCAAGAATTTGTTTCCTTTTGAGGCAAATTGTTTAATGACTTCTGTTTTCTATGTTTTTTCCCTTCCTTCCTATTAAATGGGGCTAACCCTTCTCTACTGCACAGAACCTGTCATGGGACGGAGTCTCAGTGTTTGCCATGGTGAAAAGGCCGTGCTGGGATCTGTAGTGAAGGACAAACCGGGGATTTCCAAACCAAAAGATCTGGAGAGTCAGACAGCTCAAGGGATAAAGGTGTGGAGGGAAGAGGCAAGAGTTTTAGACAGAGTAAGACATTTAAGATCATCACAGCATCTGGCCTGGGCAGTCATCAAGAACGTGGGTTTCAGAAGCAGCTGAATCTGGTAAAAGTGTTGTTGAACTCATTCTTGTAGTTTAGTAGGAGGCAGCAACATCTCCTTTGCTTTCTTCTCCCTCCCTGTAGTGTTTGTTTCTTAATTTTAGTGTTTCTTTGAACCGTGAGAGTTTTCTCCTGCTTTTTCCTCGATTTCTTTTCAAAAACATTCCGCTCTTTACAACATTCCTACCCTGTGCCACCACCTCCGTGCTCTTTTTCCATTTACACTCAAGTGCGGCTCTTCGCAGCGGGATGTAAGAGTTTGCAGAAGTCACTGCGAGCAGCCAACCTCATCCTCGCCCTCCGCAGCCCGCCGGCTTCCAGCAGGGATTGCATTTCACAGAACGGGTCGGGTCGGGAGGGACCAGAGCTGTTCCCCTGGTCCAAGCGCCCTGCGCAAAGCAGGGTCATCGCAGAGCACACGGCACCGGCCGGCAGCTGGGGAGAGCGCACGGGCAGGAGCGATGTCCTGAGCGAGCGCGTTAAAAATCCCTCATCGGGGGGCACTGCCGAGCACCACGCTCCCCACTGCCGGCCGTATTCACGGCCGCTGACCGGGGCGCAAGGGTGCGGGGCAGTCGGTGTCGGTGCCTGTCCCTTTAAGGCCGCGGGTTCCCGGCTCCGCCCGGCGGAGTCGCCGCGCGCCGCTGGGGGAGCGGCGTCACGTGGGGCGCGGCGGCCTCGTGACCGGCCGCGAGCGCAGTACCGGGGCCGCCGCTCCGCGCGCGCCGCTGGGGAGGGGCCGCTCCCCGCCCCCTCCCCCGCCGCGGGCCCCTCGCGCCGCCGCCCCCGAGCTCCGGCGCCCTCGGACGGGGCGGGGCGGGCGGCGCGCGCCGGGCCGGGCCGGGCCGGGCGCCGCTTCCTGGTCGGCCCCACGGGACGAGGCAGCGCCGGCCCAGCATGGACAGCAAACCGCTGCTGCAGGAGCGGCCCCCCGCCTACAGCCCCGCCGCGCCTGGCGCGCCGGGCTACGACTACGGGCACGGGAACTACGGCGCCATCCCCGCCCCGCAGCCCGGCTTCCAGCCGCCCCCGCCGTACTCCTACCCGGGCGCCGCGGCCGCCCCAGGTGGGTCACGGGCGGCGCCTACTCGAGGGGGTCTGCGGGTGGGGGGGTCCCCGGTGTGCGGAGCGGGCGCCCGAGCGCCCCGATGCCCCTTCGCTGGGGCGGGGGGCGCCCGTGGGGAGCCCCCCGTGCTCCGAGACCGGCGGAGGTGCCCCGGGGCCGCGGGCTCGGGAGCCGGGCTGGGCTGGCCAGCAGGAGCGGGGAACTCCCGGGCCGCTCCCGGTGCGGCTGCCCCGGCACAGGGAGGCGCTGGGGGTGTCGCGGCTCCCCCGCTCGAAGGCAGCGCAGGGAGGCGGCTGCGCCGGGATCCAGGTGTTCCAAAGCGCCGTCTCCCTTTGCCCTCCTTCCCTCGGGGCCCCTGAGGGGTTTGTGTTGTGCTCTCCCCAAAATCCCGGCTGGGAATAGGAGCATTCCTCACACGCGCGGAGCAATGGTAGAGCCGCGGCTGTGCTTGGCACTAAAACAGACCCCAAACTTGTTCTTTGCCTGCACTTCGCTGTACTCTGGTTAATGTTTGTTTTTTGTGATACACTTCAGTAGCCTGGGAGAGACTTAGGCAGGTGACTTAGAGGCAATACTTTCGTTAACTGAATTAATACTAACATCTGCCAGAGAAAGAAGTAGCCTCTCAGGGAAGAGGAATGCTTCAAAAGTTATAAAAGTTACACAGCAGACACAGACCCCTGTCTTCGAGTTGAACCTTGAGGCTACAGATTGATTTTCCTGTTGATAACTTGAAGCTTGTTTTCCTGCAGTACAGGTATTAGTGGTTATTTTCAGTTTGAATTGTGAGGTTGTGAGACTTCACCGATGGATAACTTGATCAAAAAATGTCTGAGAACTTGGGAAATAAGCTCAAAATTGATTACAGCTGGGCAAACTATGCCTTTACTACACTGTGTACATCTAACCATCCCTTTCAAAAGTTTTTTAAATATAACTTAAAGTTTTTAATGTTAACAAAGCCGTTAAAGGCTTCTGTCTTCTATCTACAGCTGTTAAAATTACTCATTCTTTTGGTAACACAGACTTTCTGAAAGTTGGGGTTTTTCCCTACGCTATTTCTCTCTGCTTGCATCCTATCACTCCTACCTTGCTCTCCAGTTAGACACTTAGTATATTAGAATTTAATAATATTTAATATTAATAATTTAGTATTAGAATTTAAGCTTGAAACTAGAGGAAGATTTATTCTGTTTCAAATCACTTGTCTGCTGGAGTGGGACATCCAGAAGTGAAAGCTATGGTCATTGTTTAAACAGTTTTTCTCTGGTGCTCAACAGCATTGAAACAAAATCTCAAAGTTAATTATTAGCTCAGTGTCCTTTTGGGATGGTTAAATTGATACTTGGGTTTATGAAGTGGCTTTGCTATTAGATGTGCCAGGTGTTCCAGTTCTGATTTTGATAGAGCTTAAAGTGCTTAATCAAGACTACATTCCTGTTTATTGTTTTACATGTTTTGTCGTAGTACTTGTAAATAATCATTGTTCTTTGTGCCTTACATGTGATGATTGAAGGTTTTTTCTTATTTTAGGGTATGCTGTTCCTCCACCGACATCACAGCCAAATTATTCGAGCACGTACACCATCATTCAGCAGCCTGCCACCACCACTTCTGTGGTAGTAGTTGGTGGCTGTCCTGCCTGCAGGTAAAATAGCTCTTGAGGAATTAAATTCAGTCTTGGGTTTTGTTATTTAAGATAGAGGTATCCATATGGTTCCTTGGTTTTCAATAGTTTTTCTTTGTGTGTGTATTACAACTAACTGAAAAGGCACTAAGATCTAGGAAGTGGAATGCTTTGTTTTTTGTAGTGAGAGCTTGTCCTGGTAGGCTTGTGACACTTGCTATAAATAATACAAGACACTTTAAACATGAATCTGTTCTTTAAGATGGAGGAGGATCTGTGATACTTTTAATGAAATAGCACTTCAGCGACAGATAGGTCAGTTCTTGGGGATAAGC